GACGATGGGTCGCGGGTTGTGTTAAGTCATTACCCTAATCAGAATCTGAATGGGCTAAGTTTTCTAATCTTTTTTTCCTAAGGACAACCAAGAACCCCAGGGATATAAAAGAGAGTTTTTAAGAAATTAAAGAGGACTTTTGGAGGAGGAAGAAGATGGCTACCAAGTTGGAGATCGGGATCCAGAGAGCTCTCGTTCACCGATTAGAAAAGTTTTTATCTTTTTCTTTCTTGAACTGATGTTATTGAATAGAATGATGGATTTTTTTATTTTCATTATGAACTAATTCTCTTTTCTAGGGCTATAGATGTAGCCCAATTTATGAACATGTGTTGACAGTATTATATTGATTTTATATTGAGTATGATTTCTAAGTTTTATTATCGTGTGTAATGCTTTCAAGTCTCAAGGGCCCGAGAGTTGAATGATATCATGGGATAGGTTGAGATCGAGAGATGAAACCTGATTTGTCTTAGGTAATAAAACCATAGATTGAGCGAACACTAGAGATAGGTTATCACGATCTGTGAGGCTCCGGTAAATTCCATAGAGCTCCTAAATCCAACTTAGAGATATCTTGGGTTGTTGCTTAAGGGTTAATTTGGTAATTGCTCGAGAGAGAGAGTTAGTGGAATATTAGGGGATTTGGCCTTTAGAATAAGCTTAATTAGGTTAGCAATAATTGTCAATGCATAGGATTAAATTGGTGCGAAATCTGTGCCCTAGGTTTAGTCATATTGATTTCTCTACCAAAGTATTTATAAAATTCTGCTTTTATTTAGTTTTTAGTTTATATTCTTTTTCATTAAATTAATTCTTAAAATTCTGTTTCACCAAATAGCAATAAGATATACTAGTTTGGTACTTGGTAAGTAGTTCTCTTGGGATTCGACACTCGTTTACTCGAGCTTTATTGCTTGCACAATTTCGTACACTTGCGAATAGTCTGTCACTTGTCTGCTACTTATACCTCAAATACCTTGCCTACTACTAGTTACCCTCTCAATCCAACTTGGCATGATTCTGCCACATCTAATTTCACTACTGAATTTTCACCTGCCTCTCACTTTGGTCAATATGGATTTAGACCTCATGGATTTAATTGAACTGGTAGAGGTAGGGGAAGAGGAAATGGCAAAGGTAAACCAATTTGTCATGTTTGCAGCAAAATTGGTCACACTACAGTACAGTGTTACCATGGATACAATTCTACCTATAATGGTATGCCTCCTCAGTTTAGTAATCCTAGAGCACCTTCGTTTACCAATTCTAGTCATAGTGGGAATTCTGGACAGTACAATAATGCTTTTAGTAATACTACACAAGTTGGGAATTATGGCACTACACATTTTGTAATCAAGGTCCTCAAAGTCCATTCTTTAATATTGCCACTAGGCCATATAGACAAGGTTCTCATACTTTTAGTATTGAATCACAAATGGTGAAAAATATATCTTCACTTGCAGGACATTTAGTTTATTCTCCTGCACAAGTAGCTCCTTCTCTTGGTAATTTTTCGTCAAACACAGTACCTAGCCAGCAATCCTACATTGTCCATCTAGCAGATGAAGTTCAATTTGCCTCTACCTCTCATGGACATCCTAGTGCCTCAAAGGCTTCTTGCTCAGCACTATCACCAGATCCAGGTTGGTATATAGATTATGGTGCCACTAATCATGTTACTTCTAACTTGTCTCAATTAGATGAAAGCAGAAATTATGTTGGAGTTAACCAATTGCAAGTTGGAAGCGGAGTTTCTCCATATTTCTCATATCGATTTTACTGTTTTACCTAGTACTTTGTAATCTAAGTGTCTTCATTTAAAAAATGTCTTATGTGTACCTAGTATCACTAAAAATCTCCTTAGTATATCAAAATTTACAAAGGATAACAATGTAGTTGTTGAATTTACTTTTAATTGTTATGTTGTTAAGGACAGGGATACAAGGACACAAGGATAGTGATGCTGCAGGGAGGTCTTAGAGGTGGCCTTTATCAACTGAGTTTTCCCTCTAATTTCTCTCAATCAACTGAACATCCTTTGTCCAAGTCTACACACATATCATATGTTTCTGCCAATCAGTCTACTCAGAGTCCAATCAAAATAAAGTCATGCCTACCAATTGTGTGTCTAAGTGGTCATCAATTTCGCATTATAATAATGTTCCTTGTGTGCCATAATCTTTGCACTATAAAACCACTCATTGTAATACTAGCATGATCAATAAAACTTCCAATACTTCTATTGATAAATCTAATGCATTGCTTTCTAATCCTTTGTTTGGTAATGATGTTTACTCTTCTGATCATGCTTTTGTTGATAAATCTGATGCATTGCTTTCTGATATTGTGGATGATAATGGTGTTTACTCTTTTGCTCATGTTTTACATCTAGATGGTGCCTCAAGTTTAGAATAATCTTCTCATTTGTCGCCTCATTCATCCTTAGTTCTACATGCTAATAACACTAATACCAATTTAGGCCTACTTTGGCATAGGAGGTTAGGCCATCCCCATTTTGAATCTCTACATAAAATTTTACAACATGTAAACACAAATCTGTCAACCAAGTTGCAACTATCATTCTGTGATGCTTGTCAACTTACAAAAATTCATAGAAACACTTTTCCCATTTCCACTTCTAGAGCAACTGAACTCCTTACCATAGTGCATAATGATGTTTAGGGCCCTGCTCCATATGCATCCATTGAAGGATTAAAGTATTATATTCAATTTATTGATGACTTTAGTATGTTCACATGGTTATTTCCTTTAAGAACCAAGGCTGACATTAGGTCTGTCTTCATCAAGTTTCATCACCTAGTTGAAAGGCAGTTTGGTCACAAGTTAAAATGCTTACATCCTGATCAGGTGGTGAATATATAGGTCTTATTCCTTATCTCACTATTGTTGGAATTCAATATAGGCATTCTTGTGCCTATGTCCATCAACAAAATGGTAGAAGTGAAAGGAAAAACAAGCATATAATAAAGACAAGACTTACCTTACTTGCACAAGCATCTATGCCTCTACATGTTTGGTGGTTTGCTTTTGATATTGCTGTGTTTCTATAGAATGCCTACAACAGTTTTAGACTTTGTTTCTCCATATCAAGCATTGTTTGGTTGTACACCTGAATACTCATCTCTGAAAATCTTTGGTTGTGCCTGTTTTCCCTTCTTGCGAGACTTTAACAAACATAAGTTTCAGTTTTACTCTTCTAAGTATACATTTGTAGGGTATAGCTTAATACATAAGGACTACAAGTGTCTTAGTTTAGATGGTCAAGTTTACATTACTCCAAATGCTAAGTTCAATGAAACTGAATATCCTTTTGCTATTGGTTTTACTTCAACCTTATCCCAATAAAATTCTCACCTATCAACTTCTTCTGTTTTACCCTCATCTACTACTTCACCTCTTGTATTTCCTTTTACATCACTTTAGTTTGATAATGTCTCACCTGCTAAAGATCCTCCAATAGTTTCATGTCCTCAATCAAGTCCTCACATCAAAGCAAAAGGTAAAGAAATTCACCCTACTTCACCTGTTCTTCCTTTCTTTTAAATTCAAAATTCACAACCCTCATCACAAATATCTAAATCTCCTATAGTATCATGCTCAATTCCATCACCTCAATCTATATATTCTCCTCAAAACATAATACCAACTTCAGCTCAGTTGCCTACTTCTACAAATTTTCCTTCACTGTTGCCCTTATCCTTTACTTTGATACCCAATTCCTCAACTCAAATAGACCTTATAGCCTATCCATTACCTTCCACACATACCTCACCCCACTCACCATCATGTTCTCTTACAATTGATCCTCCTCCAACACAGATTTCACATTCCTTTCTTGAATCTCAAGTCACTTGTAACAATCACCCATGATGACAAGAACCAAAAATGGCACTATTCTAAGGAAAATTGTTGTACTTATGACTAACCAAGTTTTGGTTCAACTTGAACCTTCTTCTATCAAAGAAGCTCTCCTTAGTCCAAAGTGAAAGGAAGCCATGAAATGTGAGTTTGATGTTCTCATGCAAAACAATAGCTGGACTCTTGTTCCTTCTACTCATGATATGAACATTGTGGGGAACAAAAGGGTGTTTAGGACTAAATTTAATTATGATGGTTCACTTCAAAAATACAAGGCTAGGTTGGTGGCTAAAGGGTTTCAATAGACTCCTAGCCTTGATTATTTCGAGGCATTCAACCTAGACATAAAGCCTTCAAACATTAGGATTGTTCTAACACTTGCTTTGACTCATAGCTAGGATATCTAGTAGATTGATGTTAACAATGCTTTTCTTAATGGCATCTTGCAGGAGACTGTTTATATGAGGCAGACAAAGGGTTTTGAAAATACATAATTCCCATACCATGTGGGTAAATTTAACAAAGCCCTTTATGGGCTTAAGCAGGCCCCCAGGGCATGGTTTGATAAACTGAAGTAGGCTTTGTTGGACAGAGGTTTCCTAAATTTAGTTTCAGACTTAAGTCTTTTTACTCTTCAAGAAGGTTCTCAAGTGACCTATTTATTGATATATGTTGATGATATTCTCATCACTAGGTCTATCACCTCTCATATTCATTAGCTTGTCCAAGATTTGAATGCTCAGTTTGCCTTGAAAATTCTTGGTTCTATTAAGTATTTTCTTGGTTTGGAAGCCACCAAGACAGATCAAGGCATTCATCTCAAGCAAACAAAGTATATTGTGGATCTTCTTACTAAAACTCAAATGCTGAATGCTCATTCTTGTCCCACTCCCATGGTTGTGGGAACAAAGTTGTTTACTCATGATAGTGAAGCCTTTAAAGACCTTAGCCTTTATAGGAGCACTATTGGTGCTTTGCAATACTTAACCCTAACTAGACCTAACATTAGCTTCACTGTCAATAAGATGAGTTAGTTTCTTCAAGCTCCCATAGAATTATAATGGCAAGCTTGTAAGAGAGTCTTGAGATACATTAAGGGTACTTAGTTCCATGGTGTAATGTTCAAACCAGCAGCTTCTCTGAGTGTAGAATGCTATGTTGGTGTTGATTGGGGCAGCAATCTTGATGATAGGAGATCCACAAGTGGCTACTGTGTTTACTTGGGTCCTAATCTCATACAATGGAGCTCCCGCAAGTAGAAAGAAGTGGCACTTTCTTATACTGAGACTGAGTACAGAGCATTAGCTCATACTATCACAGAAATAGCCCAGTTACAGAGTATTTTTTCAAAATTAGTTGTTGTTTTGGTTGCTTCTCTTGTTATTTGGTGTGACAATGTGAGTGCATAAGCATTGGCTGCCAATCCTGTGTTTTATGCTCACACCAAACATATTGAAATTGATGCACATTACATTAGGGATTAAGTTCTAGCCAAGATGTTAGTTGTTTAGTATGTTCCCTCAAAGCAACAAATTGTTGACATTCTTACTAAAGCCCTGTCAATCTCCTAGTTTAATGAGTTAAAACAGAAGTTAACTATGGTTGAAGTTCCTACAATTTTCAATTGGGCTAAGCATTAATCTTTCTCAACTGATAGAGTCCATAAGCAGATTGATTTTATGCATTGAAGTTGCAAGTTTGATAATGTTATACAGGTTTGATAATGCAGAAGCAGAATTGATTTTATGCACTCGAGTTGCAGGTTGGTTTGATAATGTAGAAGCATACTTGATTTTATACACTAAAGTTACAGGTTTGATAATGTTGTATGAAAGTGATACTGTTGTGCAAAAAGGTTTGATAATGCAAAAGCAGAATTGATTTTATGCACTCCAGTTGTAGGTTGGTTTGATACGCAGTAGCAGAATTGATTTTATGCACTTGAGTTGCAGGTTGGTTTGTTATGCAGAAGCAGAATTGATTTTATGCACTCGGGTTGCACGTTGGTTTAATATACAGAAGCATACTTTATTTTATACACTGAAGTTACAGGTTTGATAATGCTAACAAAAGTGATACTGTTGTGCAAAACTAATTTCATGGATGGTGGAAAAATTTGTTAATAAAGTATAGAAGATTGTTTATTATTTGGTTATGGATTTAGTATTGTGCAAGTTGAGCTATTGTAGAGTTGAACTGATTTAAAGTTGTGCAAAAATTGAGTTTTTAATTGTGCAAAGTTGAGCTACTATAGAGTTGCTGAATTTTAGTTATACAGAAGCTGAGTTGTTAATTGTGCAAAGTTGAGCTACTGCAGAGTTGCTGAGTTGCTAAATTTTAGTTGTACAGAAGTTGAATTGTTAATTGTGCAAAGTTGTGCTACTACAGAGTTGCAAAGTTGCTTTAGTTGTGTAGAAGTGAAGTTAAGTTGTTAATTGCGCAAAGTTGAGCCACTGCAATGTTACATAGTTGCTGAATTTTGGATGTGATGGTATTTTGAGCTAATGCAAAGTTGCAGATTTTCTGAATTTTGAATGTGATGGTATTTTGAGCTAATGCAAAGTTGTAGAGTTACAGTGAGCTAATGCGACCTACTGAATTTTGAATTGATGGTATTTGAGCTAATGTAAATGATGAATTCAAATAATGCAAAAGCGATAAAGGAAGTTGAGTTCACAGAGAGCAGTTGATTAAAGAAATTGTTAAAAGCTGGCAAAAGAAGTAAAGAGAGTTGAGTTTAAGGGGGAATGTTGACCAAAGATGTTTTTATCATAGGACCAGAGTGTTAGGTTCACAAGTTGTTGTATTGCTTTGTAAATAGGTGAAAACGGTAGCGTTTCAAGTCTTGTAGCCTTTGTGTCCCAAAACGATGGCATTTTGGGACTTCATTTTAGTTCATACTTCTTCACTCTTTTTACACACTGTTTTGTGTATAAGTTTCTAAGTGGTTGTAAAAACTAATTCAATCAATGAAATTCATACTTGACTTTTCTTGTTTTTCTTTCTAGAAATTTCTAGGTTTAGTTTGAGCTTTGACACCCAGGGGCTATTATTAAAAGATTATTGAGTAATCTGATTTTTATACCTATTTTGCTCTTAATTAAATACCATTTCGAACATAATTTCCCTTAAATGTCTACCAATGACAATTACCCAGCCCCCCTACATTTGAGAAATTAGCTAAAACACCCCAGCCACGAAAAGGTTAAAAGTTAACAAAATACCCCTTGCCATCCAAGACCACTGCCGGTCACCTGCCACCAGTGCCGTAATGGTACATGACCAGTGGCATCTAGCCAATCGTGCACTGTTAAAGCCATTTCTATGGCTGTTTCATGACCAAAGATATGGCCATTTCATAATCGTCGTTTCATAACCAAAGATATGGCCTTCTCACGGCTAGATCTGTGGCCGATTCACAACCATATCTTTGGCCGTGAAACGCCAGCACACGGCCAACCATATACTGTTAGTCGTGCACCATTCTATCAACTATCGACAGCGGCGAGCAGTGGCTTGGGGTAGGGTGGGTGGGGGCATTTTGCTACAAATTAAAGTTTTATATGGCTAGAGTGTTTTAGCAAAATTTCAAATGTAAGGGATTAACAAAATAATATTATATTAATATTTAAAAAGGAGAGCAATTTAGTAATCTATATAACTTACCTACCCATTTATCCTCCCAACCAGGGGCAGATCCAATGTGTATTAATTTAAAAAAAAAAAAAAANTTCTTGTTTTTCTTTCTAGAAATTTCTAGGTTTAGTTTGAGCTTTGACACCCAGGGGCTATTATTAAAAGATTATTGAGTAATCTGATTTTTATACCTATTTTGCTCTTAATTAAATACCATTTCGAACATAATTTCCCTTAAATGTCTACCAATGACAATTACCCAGCCCCCCTACATTTGAGAAATTAGCTAAAACACCCCAGCCACGAAAAGGTTAAAAGTTAACAAAATACCCCTTGCCATCCAAGACCACTGCCGGTCACCTGCCACCAGTGCCGTAATGGTACATGACCAGTGGCATCTAGCCAATCGTGCACTGTTAAAGCCATTTCTATGGCTGTTTCATGACCAAAGATATGGCCATTTCATAATCGTCGTTTCATAACCAAAGATATGGCCTTCTCACGGCTAGATCTGTGGCCGATTCACAACCATATCTTTGGCCGTGAAACGCCAGCACACGGCCAACCATATACTGTTAGTCGTGCACCATTCTATCAACTATCGACAGCGGCGAGCAGTGGCTTGGGGTAGGGTGGGTGGGGGCATTTTGCTACAAATTAAAGTTTTATATGGCTAGAGTGTTTTAGCAAAATTTCAAATGTAAGGGATTAACAAAATAATATTATATTAATATTTAAAAAGGAGAGCAATTTAGTAATCTATATAACTTACCTACCCATTTATCCTCCCAACCAGGGGCAGATCCAATGTGTATTAATTTAAAAAAAAAAAAAAAATTGAATACATTATTCTATTTAGTTTGACTTTGGCCAACCCTTAATTTTTGTTGTCAAATATTAAAAAATTGTTGCCCACTCTCAATTTTAGAACTAAAATCTTGGCCCACTCTCCCCTTTAGTACTAAAAAACTTGCCCGCCCACCTTCAATTTTTTAATAAAAGTGTAAAAATAGAATTTCCTTTGCAGTTGCAAGTTGCAAACCCTCAGTAAGTCAGACCTATGGTCGCTTGCGTCATCCACAACTCCTCTGCTGGACTGGTGCTCTCCCTAATTCTTCTTGAACAAAATTCTATCAGTTATTTTCTCTTTGGTTAGTACTTTTTTTCTTTGAGTATAATGCTTTTTTGTTATTTGTGTGTATTAGTATAATAGCATTGCGCATTGAATTTTTTATTGAGAAAACTTTTAGGAAAAAAGGGGAAGTTTTTAGATTCCAATATTTTGTGATAGGTAAATGATTGTTTTGTGGTCCCAACATTTGGAAGAAAAATAATATATAGATAATAGAAATAGAAATATAGATAGAATCAAGGAGGGTTTTATTTTTATGTATTGTTTAAGTCTTTCAGACTTTAAGTTAATGATTAAAAAACTTTAAGTTGGAAAATTTAGAATTTCTATAGTTATTATAGAATATTAGAATTCAATTCGTGAGATAATTTATTTCTTTGTATTTAGATATGGAAAAATATTTTAAAAGAAAGTCAATTGCTGAGACATCTCAACTTTGTTATGGTGTCAATGATCATGAAAACCAACCTTTTTCAAAGAAAAATTGCTTCGAAGTTGACTTGGAAAATCTTCTTTCTGATCCTGGCTTTCGACCAAGAATTACGTTTTATAATCCTAATGTTCGAGACCAAGTCAGAATGCATTATCTACAAAAGGGTCCTTGTCAACCTCGCAACCATAAGTTTCCCAAATCAAAATCTGGTGATCATGAACAGAGTTTCCAACGTTCTTGGTTTGATAAATATCCTTACTAGTTGGAATATAGTGTTGAGAATGATGCTGCATATTGTTTATGTTGTTATCTTTTCAAACCAGATAAAGGTGAGCAAAGTGGTGGTGATTCTTTTGTTCTTGATGGGTTTCGCAATTGGAAGAGACTTGAAAATTTTAAATATCATATTAGAGGTCCTAACAGCTATCATAACCAAGCTGTGAAAAATTGTCAAGCTTTGATGAACCAAAAGCAGCATGTAAGTACAATTATTAATAAGAAATCTGACCAATAGCAAGAAGATTATCGTATTCGGTTGAAAGGATCAATTTCTGCTAGTCGGTTTCTTCTTCGGCAAGGATTGCCTTTTCGTGGCCATGATGAGTCTGTTTATTCAATGAATCAGGGAAACTTTCTTGAATTTTTACACTATATAGCTGAGCAAAATGAAGAATATAGATTAGTAGCATTGGAGAATGCTCCTGGACATGATAAATTGATTGCTTCTAGTATCCAAAAAGATATAATCAATGCATTTGCAGTTGAAACCATCAACAAACTAATTAGTGATCTTGGAGATGCTTTTTTTTCTATACTAGTTGATGAAGCCCGTGATGGATCCAACAAAGAGCAGATGGCAATTATCTTACGTTACGTAAATAAAAGAGGATGTGTTGTTGAGTGTCTATTGAGCATTATGCATGTCACAGATACGACTGCTTTGTCACTAAAGATGGGAATCAAAACATTGTCCTCTAAATACAATTTGAGCATATCAAGATTACGTGGACAAGGTTATGATGGTGCGAGTAATATGCGAGGTCAATTTAATGGGTTAAAAGCACTTATATTGAAAGATAATGAATATGCCTTCTATGTTCATTGTTTTGCTCACCAACTTCAACTAGCACTTGTAGCTGTGGCAAAAAAGGATACAAATATTGAGAGACTTTTTTTGAAAGTTTCTTGTGTGATAAATATTGTTGGATGGTCACCTCGACGTAGGGATCTTCTTAATGAGAAACAAGCTTTGAAGGTAAAAAAAAAGCTATTGAAAGTGGTGAGCTTTCAACAGGGCAAGGTCTTAATCAAGATACTAGTCTTAAGCGACCAGGGGAAACACGGTGGGGTTCACATTATGGGACTTTATTGAGCTTGATTAATTTGTTTTCATCTGTTATTGAAGTGCTTGAGGATCTTACTGAAAATTCTGAAAATAGAGTTGAAGCAAGTGATTTGGTGGATTATATGACTTCTTTTGATTTTGCTTTTAACCTGCACATGATGAAAAACATTTTGGGAATCACATTTGAACTTTCACAAGCATTGCAAAGGAAGGATCAAGATATTATAAATGTTATGTCTTTGGTTCACTTGTCGAAAAGAAGATTATCATTGATAAGAAATAATGGATGGGATAATCTACTTGATGAAGTTTCTCATTTTTGCATTGCTCATAATATAGATGTACCAAATATGCAAGAGAAATTTGTTGCAAGAGGGAGATCGCGGCGTAATGTTCAAGAGATGACAAATTTATTTCATTGTCGTGTTAAGTTGTTCTATGACATAATAGATTTGCAACTATCAGAGCTTAACAGTCGTTTTAATGAAGGTACAAAATTACTTATTTGCATGGCCTCCCTAAATCCAAGTGATTGCTTTCAAGCATTTGATAAGGGAAAATTAGTTTGTTTTGCTCAATTTTATCCACTTGAATTTTCTTCTACTGATCTTATGGCACTTGAACTTCAACTTGATAATTACATTGATGATATGCGCTCAAACAGTGATTTTTCAGAACTAAATGATATTACCAGTCTTACTCAGAAAATGGTTGAAAAGAAGAAGCATCTTATTTACTCATTGGTATATTTGCTCATCACATTGGCTTTAACTTTACTAGTTGCAATTGCAAGTGTAGAAAGTGCATTTTCTGCTATGAAAATTGTGATGACTCATTTACGCAATCGGATGTGAGATCAATTCTTGAATGATAGCCTAATTCCATATGTTGAGAAAGATATGTTTGACAGTGTTGATAAGGAGATGGCCATGCAATGATTCCTCAATATGAAGCCCCGCCGAGGACAATAGTAAATGTAATTTTTTTGTTTTTGTGACAATTTTGACTGGAAAAATAGAATATGAATGTTATATATAATTAGTTTTTATTTGGCCCACCCTAATTGAAATTTTTGGATCCGCCCCTGCTCCCAACCAAACATATAACTCACCAGTTAATTTGAACCAACCAAACACATTTCCTAAATATTCCGAGTACTCTTCAAGGTGATTTTTCTTTTCATCAAGATAACATCCCTCTATAATAAAACATCATATGATCCAGACGCCCCCTATATCACCTCTAATATTACTTGAGCAATAAAAGATTATCGTAATCTCTTATTACCTACTGAACCAAACAAGCAAGGTAATAATCGCATTAAAAGATAGATTATCCGAGTAATCTTCTTAGGGCCCTAACCATTCACAACCTTATATTAATTGTACTAAAGACTCGAAAGAAACTTTACACTTGATTATTAAATACTATATGCAACTCACGTGACTCAAATACACATGACACACACTGACAGTTGCATCTAATTCTCGTAAAACTCAATACACTACAAATACCCTTATACCCTCAATAGTCTTGAACTTAACATCTCAATTTTACACTTAATTATTAAATACAATTTGTGACTCACGTGACTCAAATACACATGACACACACTGACAGTTGCATCTAATTCTCGTAAAACTCAATACACTACAAATACCCTTATACCCTCAATAGTCTTGAACTTAAATCTTAATTCAGTAGACTTAGACTGCTTTGGAAGTGGTGACTTACTCTTTACCCAACTTCAATTACTCTAAAAAGAAAAATTAAAAAAAAAAGTACATTCATTTAACCAAGCATAAGGAAAAATGCTAAGAAGTACATTCACAAATAAATATATCGAGATTATGCATGCATTATTTACTCTTTAAGATTTTTACCAATCAATATAATTGTTTTAGAAAAATAGTTTCCACTCACAATTTTGAAGCTCAACTTAAGGTGGTATTGACATTCTCTAAGAGTCTTTCTACTTCTTCTCCTGTTTACCCAAAAATCAAAAAATATAATTAGAATCCTCAATATAAATAGATAAAGAAAATGAGCTAAGTAAAATCTTAATTAATGGTTACTGAAATATGAGAAAATGAGATATAATCCTTAACTCCTCTCGGCCAAACTGTTTTCCTCCACTTTTTCTTTTCTTTCCTCTTTCTCCTTTTATTTCCTCCCCATCTCTATTATTTCCTTTCCTCACTCGGCTCACACCTGACTCAAAGATGGAAATAAGAGAATGGGAATTTTATGGCCAACTAGTCAAACTCCATGATGGTTTTGCTTACTAAGTCAATAAAATTAATAACAAATCTCTTGACAATTAAGCAGCCACCTTAACAAGAAAAATCAGGGGGGTTACAAAATCACATACGCAAGTCAATAAGAGATAGGCTGCTAGCCCATCCCTGATCCTTATAAAACTAGTTATTAACACGATTCAAATATGCAAAGCCAAAGTTTGTTCATAATTAAGAACAAAACAGAAAATAAAAATGAATCATCCACATATTCTAGCTATACCATATGCTGCACAAGGCCATGCAATTCCTTTACTGGAGCTTTCACATTGTTTAATTAAATGTGGCTTCAGAGTCACATTTGTCAACACATATCATACTCACAACCGAATTACCAACGCCTTACAGGAAAATTCTACTGGGGATGAAATCCATCTGGTATCAATCCCAGATGGAATGGAACAGTGGGAAGATAGAAATGATTTCGCGAGGTTATCTGAAACAATGCAGAAGGTGATGTCTCTTGAACCACACACCAAATTCAAGATTGCCTTTAATGTATTCAACACCCTCTTGGCTACCCTGAGATGAATTTCACTCGGTTTGCTAGTTAACCTGGAGAGAAGACTTGTTGCAAACATTAAATCTTGGTTGTTGTTAAGTATAGCAAACAGCCTATTAAGCTTCTATACAAACCCTCATCTACCTTTTTAGCCCCATCTTCTCTGCTCAGTTTCTGATTTTCAACCTATGGAGCATCCACTGATTTTCACTTATCCATGCCGAACCTTTTAAGAACTTCATTAGCATACTTCCTTTGATTGACAAAAATCCCACATGAAACTTGATTGATTTTCATACAACGGAAGTAGGACATTTCTCCTAGGTCTGTCATTTCGAATTCACAATGCATGGCTTCTTTAAACTTATTCAACTGACTTGGACTACTTCTGGTGATGAGAAATTCATCTACATGGAGTGAGACAATAATCAATTCTCCTTCCAGCTCTCTCACATATAAGTTGTACTCATTGAGACTCCTCAAATAAACCAAACTGGTCAAATGATCATTGATCCTGCTGTACCAAGCTCTAGGAGCCTGCTTTAGGTCATACAAAGCCTTCCTTAAAAGATACCCTTTGTTCTCCTAACCTTTGACTTAGTACCCTTCTAGTTGCTCAATATAAATATCTTCATTGAGCCAACCATTCAAGAATGTAGACTTGACATCCAGTTGAAAGATTTTCCACCCAAGTTGCACTGCCGAAGCAAGTAGCAACCTAATTGTATCATGCCTAGCCACAGGTGCAAATGTATCTTGAAAATCAACTCCATATTGTTGAGCAAATCCCTTGACAACCAGCCTAGCTTTATGCTTATGAACTGAACCGTCCGAATTAAGTTTTCTCTTGAAAATCCACTTAACTTGAATCACTTTTATATCCTCTAGTCTATCTACAAGTTTCTAGGTCTGATTTTTCTCTACACAGCTAACTCCTCCTGCATAGGAACTCTCCAACCTTCTGATTTTGCTGCTTCAGAGATGCCTATTGGTTCAAGTGCATCCATGTTGCACCTCTCATACACTTCAGCCAAAGATCTAGTATGTCTAACCGAGAACTCCTCTTTGACTTCACTTTCATCTTCTTAAAAAATCTAACCACCAGCAGCTTCAGTCAGCTGTGGTCTTGCCTCTTCATCAACTTTGTCCTCCTTCCAATTCTAAACACCTTTCTCATCAAATTTAACATCTCTAGTAATATGTATCTTCTTAGTTTCTAGAATGTACACTCTATAGACCTTGGATTGATTGCTATATCCAATGAGTATCCCTATAATTGCTTTGTCATCCAACTTACTCATTTTGACTGGTGGAACAAAAACATAACAAATGCTTCTAAGGACCTTTAGATTGTCCACAACTAGCCTGACTCCATACCACGCTTCATAAGTAGTTTGGTTGATCAAGGCTTTTGTGGGAAGCCTATTAAGTAGATAGACTGAAGTGTTAATAGCCTCTGCTCAGAAACACTTTGGCAGCTTCTTCTCAACAACCATACATCTCGCCATTTCTACAATAGTCCTATTCTTCCTCTCACTCACTCCATTTTGCTGTGGAGTAGAGGGACTGCTGTATTGGTGCTTAATCCTAGCCTCTACGCAAATTGTTTCAAACTCCTTTGAAGTATACTCACTCCAATTGTCACTCCTCACTATTTTAATACTCAAACCAGTTTGGTTTTCAACTTGCAACTTAAACCTCCCAAAAACTACAGCCACTTCATTCTTTTGCTTCAAGAAGTACACCTAACACATTCTAGACCAATCATCAATGAACAAGACAAAGTACTTGCTTCCATTCAATGAAGGTGTTTGCATAGGTCCACATACATCTATGTGGATGAGTTGGAGTTTCTCTATAGCTTTCCAAGCTTGGATTGTTTGCTCAGCTTGCCAAGTTGACATGAATGGCATATAGACTTGATTTCATCAATTTCAAGCATGTTCTAGACCAGTTGTTTGGTCTAAATTTCTTTAAGGCCATGGTAGGTAAAATGGTCAAATCTTTTATGCCATATTTCAAATTCATCTACCTTAGCACTATGAGCCTTAAATTTTGATTTTTTCCACTCAATGGGGAATTTCTTTCCCATCATTCTAACCTTCATAAGTTCACAGCCCTCACTATCTAAAATTTTGCAAGATTGGTCCTCAAAGTGCAGGACATATTTTCTCTCTAACATTTGTCCTACACTAAGCAAACTTTGGCTTATTTTAGGAACATAAATATCAGCTTGGTACTTGATTGAGTTTGCACAGCCACATCACCTCTGTCCTTGACATCTACAAACTCTTCATTCCCTATCTTAACCCTGGACTGATATGCCTTGTCCAAGCGGATGAAGCTTTGCAAATTCGGAGTCATGTGGTTGGTGCAGCCGCTATCAATCAACCAAGTCTCATTGCAAAGTGGAGCTGCGCAGCAGGATGCCATAAATAATTGTTCAGCTTCTTGGCCTTAATACTGGTCTTTAACCATTTGAGCTTGCTTTTGGGAAGGTTCTCCTTTGCTTTTGCAAACTCTCTCTATGTGGCCAAATTGTTTGCAGGCCCTGCATTGGATTCCTGGCCTAAACTAGCACCTTTTCTCGGAATGTCCCTTCTTCTTGTAGTGAGAACACAGTGGATACTCATTCATCCCACCTGATTTGTTCCACTGATTATCGGCCCTTTCCTTCCCCTTCTTGTCTCCAGCGTTCCTTTTATTGCCTCCTTGCACAAACTTCCCTTTGTGAGCTGCCATCATAACACCTTCACTTGCATCTTCTTGTCTTAAAAGTCTGCTCTGCTCTTGAGCTTGTAAGGAATGGACCAACTCAGTGAGAATGATTTGAGACAGGTCTTTAGAGTCCTCAAGAGAAGAGATTTTGGACTCAAATCTTTCGGGATAAGCTCACCAACACTTTCTCTACTATTCTTCTATCTGTCAACTCCAACCAAGTAGCCTAATTTTGTTAACCACTCTCATCAACCTGTCAACATACTCCCTCACCTTCTCGGTTTCTTGCATTCTTAGCATTTCAAATTCCCTTCTCAAGTTCAACACTTGCATGCCT